TAAATACAATATAATAGTGGAAATGGATGAAGTAGACTGTTAAGTGATGTAGCAAGATATACCCCCTATATTGTAAAGTATACAGATTGAAATCCCTTTGATATAAACACATATCCACATGAAAGTCTCTGGAAGAATATAGACCAAATTTCAACAGTGATTATTTTTAATCTTGGGGTAATGGAGGATGTTCCTACATACATAAAACAAAATTAGAGCCTGCCTCTTTTTTTATAATTAGCCTGCACTATAACCAGAAACTAAAACTATATCAAATATACGTTCTATAAATATATTAGAATGTTCTAAGCTATAAAAGCTTTTGTTCAAAAATAAGAAAAGTACACTATTATAAAAGATTGTGGCAGGACTGCTCTTTTTTTAAGCAGAGCTGAGAAGCACAGAGTTTAGATATCTGGTCTCACTCTGCTTTCACATTTCAGAGGAAATCTGGGCTCTGGGCTCTGAGGGATACTGTTGGAAACCACAGAATTAAGTACACACAACGCACACAACGTCTTGCTTCAAAAGGGTTCTCTGAAAGAATACTGAAGATCACAATTTCTTCAGCATTAATCTGACAACTAAAAAAACAAAAAAAAAAAACAAAAAACAAAAAAAACAACCAAACTAACAATGTAAGTTTATAGTCAAAGTTTAGGTGATTAAGAATTACATCTCATATTTCTATAATCTTTTGGGAAAGAATTCTCTTACACACTGCCACATTGACTTCATGAGAACTCTGTGGAGAAGATGAGTTTATTTATAGTTAAAGAAAAACATTATATTAATGGCCATTTGGTGGTAAAAAACTGAACGCACATCAAAAACTTTACTTATTTTTCTTCATGTATTCATGTAATTTTAGAGAGAGGAAGGAATGGAGGGAAAAAGAGAGGGGAGGAAACATCACTTGGTTGCCTCTCACATGGCCCCATCTGGAGACCTGACCCGCAACCCAGGCATATGCCCTGACGGGGAATTGAATCAGTGATCTTTCAGTTCCCCAGCCAGAGCTCAAACCACTGAGCCACACCAGTCAGGGCACAAATCAAAAACTTTTATTTTTTAAAGCACCAGTGACTCGCAATAAGGCACACAGTCATCTTGCTCCATGACATTTTAAACTGTGCAGGGCTTTTTACGTTGTGGCAGGATGGAGGGGGTTGCTGGCATTTAGAGCTGAAGGCCAAGAATACTGGTCCTGCAATGGACCAAACAGTCCCACATAATGAATATTTTTCCAACAAAAAATGTCAGAATCAACCATCCCATTGCTATTGAAAAATAAGTTCACTATATTGCTATATTCTGTAGGTTTTCTCAAAATATTGTATCACCCATTGGGTTTATGGGATTTGTAGAAGAGTTTGTTCTGTGCAGAAATGAAAACCTCACAGCAGAGCCTCTTGATACTTCTGCTTTTGATATCATTTTACTGGCCACAGAGAATGGGAAGGAAAGAAAGAGGAAAGGAAATAAGGAAGAAAGGAAAGAAAAAAAGAGAGAAAGGTAGAGAGGGAAGGAAGGAGGGTTGAAATAAAGCGAACTGATCAGAGAACAGAAGGAAAAGTGGAGTCAGAGGAAAGCAAGTTGAACTTAAACACAATAGAAAACAGGGAAATAGACTCTAGTTGTTGTTCTGGAACTCAATACATTGTAACCTGAACTTCACTATACACTTTTTTTTCAAGAATTTATTTATTTTTAGAGGGGAGGTGAGGGAAAGAAACATTAATGTGTGGTTGACTCTTAAGTGCTCCCTACTGGGCACCTGGCCCACAACCCAGGCATGTGTCCTGACTGGGAATCAAACCAGTGACCCTTTGGTTCACAGTCTGGTGCTCAGTCCACTGAGCCACACCAGCCAGGGGTACTATAAGTAATTTTATGAAGCTATGTGCTTGTATAAATTGGGTTGCATGCTATATACTTTACATTATATGGTGTGTATCTTGCCAAATCTTCATTTAGTGTATTTCACCCATTTTCATGATTATATAACATATAACTTCCTAAATTTTCTTTCTTTGCAGTTATTTTATTTGCACTTAATACCTGAGGGTACATATAATTTTCCCAGTAAAGTTCTCCATTTTATATATTAATTGATCAAAAAGAGATGTTGTTGATGGAGTAGAAAGACAAGGAAGTAGGCCTTGTGAACCACCTAACTTAATGTTTGCATGATTAAATGGCTTAATGTTGCTAGGATTCCCTGCAATGAGAAATAAGATGAAAAACTGACTGTAAAATGTCTAATATGTTTTCTGTCTTTAATACTCATTTAATTGTGCACACCACAGAGGAACTATCAACTCTCAGTTGTCCATTATCCTGATATTTTTCCCACATTTCCTAAGTTTGCTCACTTAAATATTAAGCAGAACCCAGCAGCTCAAATCTCTGTAACCAACCTTGAAAGGAAGGTGATATTTACCCCATACTTTCATTTCTTTTAGGTTCTGCACATTTTTTGTAAAGTGTATAACTCCATTCCCAGTATTGGCACACTGCCTTGCTTCCAGTAGTCATGAAATAAATACTTTCTCATCAAAATGAATTTAGACTAAAGAGTCCAAAGAGAAGGTACAACTCAAATAATTTTATCTTATATTTACTAATTACTGTTGAAAATTTGTTTGCCATTCTATAAAAATTCAGTAGCTGCTTTTGCATTGGAAGATTGAATGGATTCTTTAAAGAATGGATTTATGCATAGTAATTATCTACACTAAGTTAAATTTGTTGCCAAAATGACATAGTATAAAATACCCTTGGTTACATTTTTATTTTAAAATAATCTGTAAGATATTCCTTTCTCTCTGTTGCCTCCTTGCCCAAATAATATTCAAAGACATGCATAATTTGTCTTATGGTTTATTGCCAATTCAAACATAAGTATCACTTCATCTCACCCTGCTGGCCTCACCTTACTTCAACCTGCTGATTATTTCCTGCAATCTGTTTTATTTATCATGTACAATTGGCAAATTAGATAACTAATTAGTTTATGCATTAATTACTTTTCCATCTGTGTTCCCTTTTAGAGAACCAGACCAGCAATGGCAGGTAATTAAGACTAACTATGGCCCATTACTTCTTTCCCACTTAGTTCTCTTTCTAATCCACACGCTCTGTGCATCCAGATATGTGTGGGAAAATCACACCTTGACAGTAATTAAATCCTGGTCAAGTAAATCTTCACTCTGATTCTTAGTCCCAGTTTACCTTAAGCAGACAATTTTATATGTGCATATAGGTATCAGTATAAATAATTATCAAGCAATAAAAATATTTACATAATACATGAACAGTATATATTAATGAGCAATAAAACATACACATATAATTATATATTATATACAAGTATTCTTTTATTGCTTCTGAGAAAAAATATACTTCATATTAAAATTAATATACATGTTTGGGTTTGAAAACAACTGAAGGAATACCTCACTGTCTGTCTCTTTAGTTTCTATGATCTGAATTCAAGGCATTTGTATTTTTTTAGAGGGGGGTGTGGGGGTGTGTGTGTGAGTATGGGTGTGGGTAATGGGTGTATTTGCGCTTCTAGAAAGACAGATAACTGGCTGATGTGAATAATTTTTGTTCATTAATTACCTTTTAAAAACAAAAGAACAAAAATCACATGCATTATAAGCATTATAATAAGAAAATTTTAAATTAACAGTAAAGTTCTCTTCAACCTTTCTCTATTCACAAACATCGTAGTAACAACTGCATGTCACCCAAACTAGCTATTTTTCCTGTAAGCATGAACTCAAAAGAAATGCTTCTGTTTGTTCACAGACACTTGCAAGAATGACACATACAAGGGCTACATATAATAGCTAAAAACCAGGAACAACTGAAATGCATGTAATGTAGAATAGGTAACTAAGTCTTGCTAGGTTCATACAATGGGATACTACATAGCAGTCCAAAATCACTAAGTATGCGCAAAGGAGCACAATAAAAAGTGAAATCTGAGTAAATCTTTGATAGCAAGTGGGTGACTCTGAACTTGATGATATACTAACATTGTCAGAAATGGGGAGGGGCAGATAAAAAAGGGTGTTAAATGAACAAGATTCCTGATTTATTTCATGTCTATAAATCAATAACCAATCACCATATTGGGTAACATATGAACATAAACATTGTACTTGTCTGATGTGAACAAATCTAAAGAAAGACTGTGTTTTTCTTTGTGTGTGTGACTGGGCGTGTGACTGGGGGTCAGTTATTATTGGATCACAAAAGGAACAGAGGAAAACAGGTTCCGTGGACTTCCAGCCCTGTCCAGAGGAATGAATGCACTGTCCAGCCAACATAAATACATCCAGGCCACCTGGTAAACATATTCCTTTAGTGAGAAAAGAGCCTTAATTTAGCTTTTGAAAATCACATTTCCGTTTATAAAAGCAACAAGTGCTTCTAGAAAATTTGAAAAATGAGAAATATAAAAGGAAGAATATGTAAGTTGACATAATAAACAGTCTTTATAGTATTTTGTTATAGATAAATATGTTTTGCAGCGCTTCTTTCACTTACTTTGTCATGAGTGTTTTTATCCGACACAAAATTGTTTCTCAAAAGTTATTTGCAATGCTTATATAATGACTTCTCTTCCAGAAATACCAGAATTAAACAGTCTTGTATTTCTGGAATTAAGACCACTATTAACTTTTTTCCAAAAGTAACGTTTCCCGTTCTACGAGCATGAGCTACACATGCCGACTTCCCTCCAGAGCAGAGTATATGAAACAGGTGAAAAGTATAAACTGTGGAGAAACCAGATGAACACACCTCAGACAGGCGCTCACGGTCGGCATCGACAGTGGTGAGTCACGCTGATAGTATCTGTACTTGACAGGATGTGGTCAACGTGACATTTCACCTCTGCTGGCTTCCTCAAAAAACCTGTACACCACTATAATCATTACAAAAACATCACACATATCAAATTGAGCTTCATTCTACACAATATCTGACTGGTAACACTCACACTTGAGCAGGTCCTCAAGCAGCAAGACTAGAAACTTTGAGAGCTCAGAGGGGCCTAAGGAAAGCTGACGAATGAATGCGGCATCACCATGGATGGAGCCTGGAAAAGAACACAGGCATCAGGTAAAAGCTAAGGAAATCTGAATGAAGTACAGATTTACAGTTAGCAGTAATGTGCTGATATTGGTTCATTCATTGTCACCAAATATACACTAATTTAAGGTTTTAGTAGTAGAGTAGCTGGATATAGGGTAAAAAGGACTCTCCAAACAATCCTTGCAACAATTCCTCCAGTTTAAAACTAATCTCAAATCAAAAGCTTGTCTTAAAAATAATATTGTGATGAAGATGTCTCTAACTAAATATTTTTCAAGATTTTAATTTCCTTAACCAAAACTAATAGAAAGAATACCAGTTGGTCTAAAGCTTTGAACTTGCTTATATATCTTGATATATATTAACAAATTATTATGCCAAAGTTCATACTAGCTTGTTCCTACACACAGAGTGTATGGATGCATTTCACATCACCCTTATAATAGATATTTTATTTAGATATTACAACAACAAACTTTTTCATCCTATTTCACTGGCAAAAGAAACAATATCTCTATTTAATTATCACATCTTTTATCATTCAGGATAGCTATAAATTGAAATATATAAACCTTTGTTACAATTTTGTCAAGCTTTTATTCTTTCATGTTAAAATCTCTTTACACAAATTAAGGCAATTGATATTTTTGTTATATTATTTTTGCAAAAATTTTAATATTTAACTTCTAATTGCATTTGAGGTACTTTCTGAAATAATATCTTTATATTTGTATATGAGGTAATTTACAAAACTTCTCCTTTATGACTTCTGCTATCCTTTCAAACTGTTACTTGTCCTTATATTGGGTAAATTCCCACCTATCTTGTTCTAGTTGTTTTGATTTAACTTGTGGCACATTTTTCTCTGTAATTTATTTATATTTGTGTATGGTTTGTAGGACTTGTAATGAAAGAGCTTAGCAACATGGAATGCTATTTTTTAAATAATGCTTTGTCTGTCTACTGAGTCTGCCTCCAGGTTTGTTGCACAATGAGTTCATATGTTTGTCTAGTTTGTGAATATGTTATTTGGCAAATCTGTGTTTTATTCGTTCAATACTTCAATATTTTTGTTGTTATAGATTTATTATAAATGTATGTAACTGATTATAAATAGTAAACTGCATGCAAACCAGTAGTTATACTTACAAAATGTTTCTGTGCAACTCAAGTATTTTTCTAAATGAGTCACAAATTCAGATTGTTAAGTTAAAAAAATCACACTGTGAGTTTTACTACATTTGCATAAAATCTAAAAAAGGAAGAACTGGCTTATCATATTCAATGTTCCCATCTGTGGACTTGGTATTTCTCTTAATTTTAAAATCTTTAAAATATTCAGATTAATTCCGTTTAGAAGAGTTCCTGTTATGATGACTATGAAGCATTTTTGTTTTTGTCGTTCCTGTTATGAATGGAAACTTTTCCCCATTGTATTGACTAGCTGATTGTCAATTACATAAGACATCAAGGGCTGTACCTTTATTTTGTATGTAGATAAAACCAAATTTACACTTAGTTCCAATAGTTTAATTCTCTTGAATTTTTCAGGAAGAAATTCTTGTCATATACAAATAATGGCAATTTTATCTTTTCCCTGATGTTGATCATTCACATTAATTCAGTTTTGTGCTTTATTGCATTGCTAGACAACCCATAAAAATATTGAATAATGGTGGGCACCTTTTGCCTTGTTTTAATGGGATTGCTGCTATCCTTTCAAAATTATAAATGATCTTGTGTGTTGACTTTAATAATTATAGTAAGATGCTTTCTACCCCTTTGTCTTGGGAAAAGGATAAAGTATAGGAATCCCATGTACTGTTGAAATTTGCAAGTATGCATTTCTAAAACTATCAATCTTGTGAGTCATGGAACTTAGAGTTCCTTGGCCATGTTTGCCTGCCTCAGTGCCTTTATTCAGACTTTTTTTTTCGGCCTAGGATGGTGTTCCCTAGTTAGTTTCTGTACCTCCTGCAAAGCTAACCTCTGCACTACCTCCTCCAAAAAGCCTTCATAGATAGCTGGTTTCCCTCACCCAGTCTGAAATTGGAGCATTTCCTGCGTGCACTGATAACAGCTAATTAATATGTCTAATGGTGCAGTTAGCACACGACTTTGGTTTCCACATCCATTCCTACATTTATGGCCTTTTCAAGGAGAGGGGTTTCCTGTTATTCCACTACATGTACCCAGTGACAGCCACGGTACCTGACAAAGATTTTTAAATTGTTTCTAGAGCAAAAAGTTATCCTGAAGGGATGTTAGAAATCTGAAGCTGATTCATAGATATTTGGTTCCATTCATTATGAATTTCCACTGTAGTAATTATAATTCTCTTTACAGTGGTTTGTATCCCAACTTCTCATTTTAATGAAAGGATTTTGCATTAGGTTAGCACTTACAACAGTCTAAATGTTTTACAAAAACAATAAAATCCTCATGACAAATCCATAAAACAAACATTATGATTTTTTTAGGTTCCACATATAAGTGACAGGTGAGTTTTACAGTATTTATTTCACTTAGCATGGTGCCCTTAGGGTCCATCCATATTGTCACAAATCATAGGATTTTCTTCTCTTTTATGGCTGAGTAATACTTCAGTGTATAATATTTCCATTGTATGTATGTGCATAGACCTAACATTTTCTTTATCTATTTACCATTGGACACTTAGGTTGCTTGCATGTCTTGCCTATTGTAAACAATACTTAAGCGAATATAGAGGTGCAAGTATTTTTCAAGTTTTTATTTCCTTTGGATAAATATCCAGAAGTGGAATTGCTAGATCATATGGCAGTTCTGTTTTAATTTCTGAGGAACCTTCATACTGTTTTCCACAGTGCTGCACTACTTTATATTCCCAATAGTACACAAGGGTTCCCTTTTCCCCACATCTTCACCAACACTAGTTATTTCTTGTCCTTTTGATAACAGCCGTTCTAAGAGGTATGAATTGATGTCCCATTGAGGTTTTGATTTGCATCTCCCTGCTAATTAGTGATGTTGAACACCTTTTCATGTACACGTTGCCTATCACTATGTCTCTGGAATATGTGTCTTCAGATTTACTCATTGCTCATTGAATTGTTTGTTGTTTTTTAGCTGTTGATAAATGTGATTTGAACGTATAGATATGGAAACAGGGACTCAGAAGGTCTTTGTGAGTGAGAGAGCTTGGGTTTGAACCCCGTTTCTCTGACTTCAAAGCTGCATCCGGGAACCCCTCTGTTATACACACGTACACTTTAATTTTACTTCCAGGGCAATGAGTGTTGGGGATTCACAGTATAAACCAGGGCAAAGACGACACTTGCAGACTGAAGCCTGGAGAAAACCTCCTAAGTCCTTGTGGTGCAAGCATGCACAAGTCAAGGGTAAGCAATACTCACATTAAGGATCTCCTCCAAGGTTTTATATAAATTTTCATCTACTGGGCTCCAAGCAAAAAGCTGAGATAATATTAAATCATGTTCACTTTGACATTTACTACCCAAAAGACTTTCATGTATGTTGCTACACCACTGGCCCATACAATTTTTTAAAAATTCAAAAATTTCCCTTTTAACCTCAACAGGTATGTGATTGTTCAAATGAACTTAACTTGATTGCCTTTTTTAGAACCTACAGTGGAAATTCTTATTAGATTCTTTAAAACCACTCTTCCAACTGTGAGAGTTCCAAGAATTGTCCTGGTGCTGGACATAATTGACAAATGAATTGACATAATATTTTGGTTTGGGATTGTGTAAGGAAAGAAAGAAAAATAAAAAAAAGAAAGAAAGAAAGAAAGAAAGAAGGGAGGGAGGGAGGAAGGAAGGAAGGAAGGAAGGAACTTTTCCCCCCAATAATTCACAGTTTTGTTTTGGGTCTAAATTACCAATAGGAATAAAATTGTCTTATTTCAGCTGATTTTCATATTTTGATTTTCTCAATCTCATTTCTTCTCTGTAAACTGATTTTTAGAACAAGTTGGACTTTCTGTCAGTGAATTAACTTAAAAATCCTGAAATACCACTATTTTTCAAATATGTTTTATCTTTCTGTTTTTAATTTGCTACTGAATATTTGTTCCCGACTAACTCCTTCCAACACTTCCTGACAGAACCTTGTTGAAATTTTAAATCTTTGCTCAGTTATTTTATTCCACCTACTCTATAGAAAATGAGAATAGTACTGCTATTATTTTATACCCAGTATATGATGTTTTTTTCTGCCTTACATGTGCTACCTTCTTTACACTTCTGTACTCAGAGTGCCTCTAAGATCCTACTGTCTACTTGGTTGTTACCCTTGACCTAGCCATGAATCCTCATAAGGATAAAAGATTTGCCCTGATGGTCCGATTCACATTCCATCCCAGCCACCCTTGTCTCTCCTAATGGAGCACAGTAACAATGTTTAGCTTGAAGAAAACAAGGCTTAGGGAAGGGTGGATACTTTTAAATATATAAACGTCTGTCCTGCAATAGATAGAATGGGCTCATTCCATGACTTTGGAAGCTGCCCAAAATGCAATTTATAGGGGGAAAATTTTTATTTGATCATATGAAAAAAAACAGAGCTATAAAATGAAATATGCTGCCTCTGTAACTACACTTTGTCAGCATTAAAGTTTTCAGCCCCATGGTTTAGAAAGACTACTTGTCATAGATCCTGGCATTTAAAGAACAAATGAATGTGAACAGGGCTCCTGCCCAGCCTTTGTTCCTGCTTGCCTGTGCTTCTCTCGCATTTTCTCTAAATGCAGAGCAGAGCTCTCAGTGTGAGAGAGAATATGGCTGCCGCAAGCCCAGCATAACTGTCCAGTGGTGAGAGTGTGGCTTTTTTCTGCAGTGTCCATATGTCCTTCCAGGCACAGGCCTCGGGCCCTGCTGTAAGAGCGAAATGCCCAGCCTCTCTGACTCTAAGCATGCTTCAGTCAAAAGCTGGTGCTCAGTTTTGCAGGTAGACATGCTAATCACTAGAGTAATTGTGCTTGCGGCTTGAATTTTACAAAAATAGTGCCTTACCTCAGAAGTGGTTCTGAGAGGAGGTATGGGGAGCATGTATTTTTTTTTATAAAGACTTGCAGGAACCTTGTGACTGAACTCACTCAGCTAGGGTCAACACACTAAGCGTTATCTTCCAGGCACCCCTGTTGGCACCCAGACATGTGCCGCCGTCAGTTACCACTTGCACTTCTCATTTTCCCTCCCCTTGACATAAAAGCAGCCAGAACTCAGGACTTTCTTTAGGTGGATTTGAGGCATCATTAAGTCTCCCATCGTCTCTCTTGGGGCCTTCTCGATTGATAAACATCTCCTTACTCTAAACTCTGATGTTTTGAGTTTTGGCCTTTTGAAACGTCAGGCACACAGGCTCAGCAACACTGCTTGGCCCTTGAGCCCACCCTTTGCACCAGTTTGTCATTGCCAGTGGACTTGGTGGTAAGGTTGGCTTACCAGCCCATACCTGCAGGTGGGATGGAAGGATCAGGCTATGCTTAAGAGGCTCCCAGGAGCAGGGCTTATAGAGAGAGGATGGCAGGCAGGTGAAAGTAACATAGACCAGAACAGAGAGCAGAGTCCACACAGAGCTGAAAGGCTAACATTAAAAATAAAGTTTCCTTATGAACTGGAAAATACTCAGTTGTGCTTTGGGATAATAACAATAATTCAGAAGTAGCATCTGATTTCAAATGATTATAATCTTGGCTTAAAACATTTCAGGTCTGAGAATGAATTCCCATCTTTGTTTTACCTAAACTGCTTTAAAAATATTTTCAGGTTTTTACTTCCCTGTGTCCCATATACATGCTAGACCTAGTAGGCCCAGCACTAAGAGATTTTCTCTAAAACTGTGAGTTTCTGCCTGTTCAACATAAGGAAAACAATATACAAGTCATTTGAATATGTTGGTTTCCTGCAGTAGGAAACATAATACTTTGTTTTCAAATTAACAAATGAATAATCAAGGTATGAGATTGTGAGGGTTTAGGCCTTTGATTGACATTTAGTAGATTGAGAATTAAATATGACACAGTGTGAGAAAGCTTGACTTTGAGGTCCCAGGGTCCTTGGTAAGTAACCAGGTAGACAGAAGGGCAAAGTGTTTGAGATAGTTGGGCGGGGCGGGGGTGGGGGGAGTGGCGGAAAACCTGTGAGAAGTATTCAGTGTAGCAGTTCCTGACTGACAAGGTTTTTGGGGTTTTTCAGGAGGGAGGGAGATTTAACAGATTGCAAAGGGAGATTTTTTTTTTGATAAAAGTTTCAATTAGCTTTTGCTGCAAAGTGCCAAAATTTGTATTTAAAGAATACAAGAGAGCTACCAAATCTGTTAATAGTTTCAAAGATATCAAGGCAATATTAGCCATATGGAATGGGGGTGGATTATTTCCTTTATTTTTATGGTTAATAGTGGTGTCAGCAAATATAGGAAGTTTTGTGAATATAAAAAGACAGTTATACAAGCAACATAATTTGTTTACTGCTTTTGGATTCATTTCTTAATATAAGAACTGTTAATCCATTAAAATATTATCATTTACTTGGCAGATTATACATAAATCCTCTTAGATTCTTTTTCTTTCTATTCAGTAATATTTTTATACAGTGGGTTTGTTGGAAGTCGGGACTGAATGGAAGTGGGATGGGGTATGAGGTCTGTAGAGATAAATATCATTACTTATTTGTTTGTGTGGCTATAATCCAATAATTGGCAATTTATCCTGAAAGAAAGGCAGGACTCTCAAGGCACAATTGTGATTTTGGTGGAAAGGTTTGGGATTGTTATTTTAGAAGGCATGTAAAAATTGTCTAAGATTCTGTCTATATAAGTCACATTTTTGTACAACTCTATTTTTCAAAGTAATAGACTCAATATCCTTCAGATATTATGAGATTCCCATAGGGGCTACAGTGTTCCACTTTTTCAGTGGTGTGAGCCTCTAAAAATGACTTTGCAACACTTTCAAGAAAAGACCTGGAACAATACCTTATAAATGGTTTGTCCCTTGGCATTTTGGAGTGATCTGACCTGAGTTACCCAAGCCATCCCCTTTCTATTGCAGGGTAACTTGGATGCCTCCAGAGATGTGGTTTTTGTTGGTTTCAGAACGTGCTCTGGGGGGAAGATGCCAAACAGAGTTCCAGTGATCTTAGGGTTTTGCTCTACTGGCGTGAAGAAAAGCTTGAATCACAGCCTCTGAAACATGGAGTGCTCAGGGGAACTTTTTGGCCTGTAGCTGACTTTTGTGTGGGCAAAAAGACAATGCATAACACACAGTATAACATTTGTTGTGGTTGTACAGTTATGATGGGGTGTGCTGTGCTCGTTTTCCATATATGTGTTAGATGTTTTGACATCTTCTGACAGTCATAAAATTGCCTTTAATTAGAAATTTCTGAAAAGCTGAAAAAAATCCCTAATATCTAGTCATAACCTAAATGTACCTGAATATTAAATTGTCATCACTGAGTAGACAGACACCGAATTCAGATCAGGAAACGGTATTTCCAGCCCTCCTGTTTTACTGGGTAACTATACTCACATACTCACATAATTTTCCAGTACCTACTTCTTTCTCTTTTGTCTTTTTCACTCAACATATCTGTGAGTTATTCACATTATTACATGCAGTTGTTGTCTGTTCATTCCTTGTGCTGTATACCATTTTATTTTGTGCAAATATTCCAAAATGTACTTGTTTCATTCAGCTATTGATGAGGGTTTGGGGGAGTTTATAGTTGGTGCTGCCCTTGTATTTTCTTGGGGAGCATCTGAACACTTATTGCAGGCCACAGACATCGGGGTGGATTCCTGGGTGGTAGGATGAGTGTATGTTCCACATTAGTACGTCTGTAAGCAGGTCCTCCAGAGTAGGCAGACTCCCCTACTAATCGGTGTAGCAGGGTTCCCAGAGTATCTGCGTCATTGCTGCTCAATCCCTCACCAAGATGATATCGAACATAATAACCGCAAAGCTTACAAGGAAAAAAAGTTTAACTCTTTATCCTCCTGTGTGTCATAAAGTCCTGAGACACAGAGACCAGTGGACTAGTGCACTTATTTGGAGCGTATTATACACTGATCTCATGTGTTTGTGCAGAAATGTTGTTCACTTCAGGCTTTTCGTCTTTCTTAAACAATTTAACTTAGTTTCTTTTTCCTAACTGATTTAGGAATTCGAAATTCTTATAGTCCATCATAAAAAATTTAGAAAATGTAGGTAAAATAAAAACAAACTGAAAATCCTTTGGATTTTCTGCCGCAAGTTGAATGAGTTGCCTCAGTACCTTCAAAGGGCCAGGGAGTCTCACCCGACCCCAAACACACTCCGCGTTTCTTAGCGCAGGCCTGCGTGGTCAGACTCCTGCTTCGTGCCTTTCAGTTCTGC